AGTCAATTCACAGGGCAATGCACCGGAATTAGCTCAGAGTGTAATATGAGCTCTTCCTTTTGCTCTTGTACAGGAAGTACAGGAAGTGTTTGTCTCTCGACTGCTGGAGCTTGAAGAGAGCAGTCATGCTTTTGTAATGCTGCAAAGACAGAAATAAAGGCATGTAAATACGTTTCTGTCTATCTCTTTCCCCTGCCGGGGGGGGCAGGAAAGACGGGGTGTGTTCTTCTCACGCTGAGAAGGCTCACCTATCGCGACCTAGCCTGTATCCTGCTGGGAATGCAGACAGGGAGGTCAACAGGAGATCAAGCCGGGTGCCTGGAGAGTGGCCAGTTTCTCCTGATAAGGGCTTGATTCCCGACAGTTATAACATACCACCCAACATTTCTCTGCGGAAAATATGGACATCTTATTCCACCACCACCACCATTTTATTATTTATACCCCACCCATCTGACTGGGGTCCTCCAGGCACTCTAGTTGACTTCCGTTATATATAACAAAACAAAACAAAACATTAAACATTAGAAAACTTCCCTATGCAGGGCTGCCTTCTGATGTCTTTTAAAGGTTGTATAGTTATTTGTCTCCTAGACTTGGGGGTCACATTACTACATACCTTCCGATAAAAATAGGGACATCCTAAGGAAAAGCAAAGGACGCGGGTGGTGCTGTGGGTAAAACCTCAGCGCCTAGGACTTGCCGATCGCATGGTCGGCGGTTTGAATCCCCGCGGCGGGGTGAGCTCCCGTCGTTCGGTCCCAGCTCCTGCCCACCTAGCAGTTCGAAAGCACCCTTAAGTGCAAGTAGATAAATAGGTACCGCTTTATAGCGGGAAGGTAAACGGCGTTTCCGTGTGCTGCGCTGGTGCCGGTTCGCCAGAGCAGCTTCGTCACGCTGGCCACGTGACCCGGAAGTGTCTGCGGACAGCACTGGCTCCCGGCCTCTTAAGTGAGATGAGCGCACAACCTTAGAGTCGGACACGACTGGCCTGTACGGGCAGGGGTATCTTTACCTTTACTTTTAAGG